CACTGTCTAAATGAGATGAGTAATAACATTGCTCTTTCAATGCATCAATTCAGTCTTATGATTCTAATATATAATACTTGTAGAATATGTTGCAACAAAATTGCTTATAAATATACAATGATCAATATAGTAATATTAATATTTATATATATATTATACAGTCATGGCCAAAATTGTTGGCACCCCTGAAATTTTTCCAGAAAATGAAGTATTTCTCACAGAAAAGTATTGAAATTACACATGTTTTGCTATGCACATGTTTATTTCCTTTGTGTGTATTGGAATAACACAAAAAAAAACAGGAAAAAAGCAAATTTGACATAATTTCACACAAAACTAAAAAAATGGGCCGGACAAAGTTATTGGCACCCTTTCAAAATTGTGGATAAATAAGTTTGTTTCCAAGCATGTGATGCTCCTTTAAACTCACCTGGGGCAAGTAACAGGTGTGGGCAATCTAAAAAATCACACACCTGAAAGCAGATAAAAGGAGAGAAGTTGACTCAGTCTTTGCATTGTGTTTCTGTGTGTGCCACACTAAGCATGGAGAACAGAAAGAGGAAAAGAGAACTGTCTGAGGACTTGAGAACCAAAATTGTGGAAAAATATCAACAATCTCAAGGTTACAAGTCCATCTCCAGAGATCTAGATGTTCCTTTGTCCACAGTGCGCAACATGATCAAGAAGTTTGCAACCCATGGCACTGTAGCTAATCTCCCTGGACGTGGACGGAAAGAGAAAAATTGATGAAAGGTTGCAACGCAGGATAGTCCGGATGGTGGATAAGCAGCCCCAAACAAGTTCCAAAGAAATTCAAGCTGTCCTGCAGGCTCAGGTTGCATCAGTGTCAGCGCGAACTATACGTCGAAATTTGAATGAAATGAAACGCTATGGCAGGAGACCCAGGAGGACCCCACTGCTGACACAGAGACATAAAAAAGCAAGACTACAGTTTGCCAAAATGTACATGAGTAAGCCAAATTCCTTCTGGGAGAACGTCTTATGGACAGATGAGACCAAGATAGAGCTTTTTTGGTAAAGCACATCGTTCTACTGTTTACCGAAAATGTAATGAAGCCTTCAAAGAAAAGAACACAGTACCTACAGTCAAATATGGTGGAGGTTCAAAGATGTTTTGGGGTTGTTTTGCTGCCTCTGGCACTGGGTGCCTTGACTGTGTGCAAGGCATCATGAAATCTGAGGATTACCAAAGGATTTTGGGTCGCAATGTAGGGCCCAGTGTCAGAAAGCTGGGTTTGCGTCCGAGATCATGGGTCTTCCAGCAGGACAATGACCCCCAAACATACTTCAAAAAGCACCCAGAAATGGATGGCAACAAAGCGCTGGAGAGTTCTGAAGTGGCCAGCAATGAGTCCAGATCTTAATCCCATTGAACACCTGTGGAGAGATCTTAAAATTGCTGTTGGGAAAAGGCACCCATCCAATATGAGAGACCTGGAGCAGTTTGCAAAAGAAGAGTGGTCCAAAATTCTGGGTGAGAGGTGTAAGAAGCTTATGATGGTTATAGGAAGCGACTGATTTCAGTTATTTTTTCCAAAGGGTGTGCAACTAAATATTAAGTTAAGGGTGCCAATCATTTTGTCCGGCCCATTTTTTGAGTTTGTGTGTGAAATTATGTCAAATTTGCTTTTTTCCTGTTTTTTTTGTGTTATTCCAATACACACAAAGGAAATAAACATGTGCATAGCAAAACATGTGTAATTTCAATACTTTTCTGTGAGAAATACTTCATTTTCTGGAAAAATTTCAGGGGTGCCAACAATTTTGGCCATGACTGTATATATATATACACACTTCATTTTTGCTCAGAAAACTTGGTGGGCAAAATAAAATCACCCGCTGGCCAAATCCGTCCTGGTTGGGGGAACCCTTCAAATTGATTTTCTCAGTCAATATGTTAGACATTGCCACCGTCTTGTGGCCTAAACCTAATGTTGTCTTTCTCAGTGGATATATTCAGAACAGTATCAATAATAGGCTATTATTCTGCCCTCAAGGTTACAGGGTGTATGTTGACATCTAAATGTGAAACAACAGCCTTATCTGAATCTACAATGATGCTTCACTTGAACATTTACTTGTTTTTGCTTGAGAAGTGCCAAGGTAGTCAGGCTTCAACCTGAATATGATACTGCAGGACAAGTCTGGGGAAATAATAGAGCAGCATAGCATGTGATACCTAGAGAGTGCAGGAAAATATCAAAGTGCTCTCTGCTTTCACAGCGGAACTTTGAAGTAAAGGCCAGATTGATCAGATACACACAATGCTCCAAATAATTTCATTTTTCTAAAATGATTTGACACAAAATATTTCTGTAGATTAGTTCAGTTTTCTCTTCTGTACCTGGAAAGAGAAAATGATATTTCAAACTCAGTCTGCATTTTCTCCTCCTGGCTGATGAAGTTCTCCCACAAGCATTTCTGCTTTTAGATGATTGGACTCTGCTTCCTCAAGAGTTGGTATGGTTAAGGAGATGAACAAGTCAATATTAAAGCATGTGCCCTCAATTTACCCTTTGACAAAAACATGTATCCATTCAGTTGTTTGAATTCACATTTAGACAATCATTCTCCTAATGTTTTTTTTGGGCTTCAAATAACATACTTTCAATATAAAGATTGAATAACTTCCTAATGATTCTCCTGATTCTAATATCCTTGAGTCAGAGTTTTCTCACAGACAGAATGTGTGAAAAGGATATTTGGCCAGCAGCAGTGGCGCCTCCCTGTGCTAGGTATATGTTGAGGAGACAGGTGTGGACGTGGAGCCTGTCCTCCCAGCAGGTGTAGCTGGGGGAGCAGAGGGGCAGCAACTCACTGGCTCTGTCGGAATGCTCCTGGGCCTGCACTGCCCAGCCTGGAGGAATGAAGTACAACACACAGGTCATTCCAAGATTTTATGTCAAGGTATCAATATATGCAATACTAACAGTTTATTATTAACAGGGTCGGACTACCGCATTTGGGGACCTGGGGCACTGACTTCTGGGTCGGGGGGCCCTGGGGCACATGCCTAGTGTGTCCGTTCGGTAATCCGGCCTTGATTATAAACCCTTTATAGATGGTACCTCATTGTAAAGTGTCATGACATCACTCACCTTTAAACTGTAGGTATGCCTTAGCCAGTCGGACATGGGCTTGGGCTAGTTTCAGGTGCCCGTCTTCATACACCAGACAGCGGACAAGGTCCTGGATACAAGCATCAAACTGTGGGGAGAAAAGCATAGGTGCACTACTGAAAACAGCCTTCTAGATGCTGAGTGGTACATGTCATGCATTATAACTTTGATGATGCAATTCCTGAACATGACAGAATAACTGACAGAATAACTATCATAACTACTACCTGCAAACCTACCTGTTGGGTGTCTGCAAAGGCTTGGGCTCTGCTGTCATACTGGGTAAGTTTTTCCTCAGGAGTCATCATCATAGACTCGCCCATGTCATCCATTCCTCTTTGAGAGACACTTGCCAGTCCTTTATCACTATGAGGAGATTCACCTGTTCCCACTGATGCTTCTGGTGCATTCAGATGATCTGCCCATATCACAACAATCATCATCATTCTTATCATAGACGTGCATAACTCACATTGATTCTAATATGCATAATTAATCTCTTTGAAATTAAAGTTTTTTTTCTTACATCAAACAGCAATGCATGCACAAACACAATTTAGAATTAAAAATTCTCCACATTCAATTGACCCAAGTCCTGGTTTGGAGTGTGTTTTTGCCCTTGGATAATTATTAGCCATTTTAATCTAAAAACCTTTTGCAGAATAATTTCATGCCATGTTTGTTTATTTTTTCCATCAGTTGTCGTGGATACAGTGTGGTGAGATAAACTCGAGCCATTGGAATATGACGATATGAGCGCTTATTTCAAAGAAAACCCCCTAAGCCACGCCCCAGTGGGCAGAACTCAGTATATTGCTCTCGGACACATTGCCGTGGGAAGATATTTTGGGTTGGGGGTGTTGTCTACATTAAATAAAAAAAATCTGGGGGTACTGCAGCACCCTTAGCACCCCTACTTCCTCCGGCTATGCTCGGACACGTTTTAATATGGAGAAAAGCCTCTAATGGTCGGCCGTGGTTCTGTGTAGCCTAGTTATGCCTTTACAGTGCCTTCAGAAAGTATTCAGACCCCTTGACTTTTTACACATTTTGTTAGATTACAGCCTTATTCTAAAATTGATTAAATTGTTTTTTTCCCCTCATTCATCTACACACAATACCCTATAATGACAAAGCAAAAACAGGTTTTTAGACATTTCTGCTAATTTATTAAAAATAATCAACTGAAATGTCACATTTACATAAGTATTCAGACCCTTTACTCAGTACTTTGTTGAAGCACCTTTGGCAGCTATTACAGCCTTGAGTCTTGGGTATGATGCTACAAGCATTGCACACCTGTATTTGGGGAGTTTCTCCCATTCTTCTCTGCAGATCCTCTCAAGCTCTGTCAGGTTGGATGGGAGCGTTGCTGCACAGCTATTTTCTGGTCTCTCCAGAGATGTTCGATCGGGTTCAAGTCCGGGCTCTGGCTGGGCCACTCAAGGACATTCAGAGACTTCTCCCGAAGCCACTCCTGCATTGTCTTGGCTGTGTGCTTAGGGTTGTTGGCCTGTTGGAAGGTGAGCCTTCGCCCCAATCTAAGGTCCTGAGCACTCTGGAGCAGGTTTTCATCAAGGATCTCTCTGTACTTTGCTCCGTTCATCTTTGCCTCGATCCAGACTAGTCTCCCAGTCCCTGCCGCTGAAAAACATTCCCACAGCATGATGCTGCCACCACCATGCTTCACCGTAGGGATGGTGCCAGGTTTTCTCCAGAAGTGGCGCTTGGCATTCACGCCAAAGAGTTCAATCTTGGTTTCATCAGACCAGAGAATCTTGTTTCTCATGATCAGAGTCTTTAGGTGCCTTTTGGCAAACTCCAAGCGGGTTGTCATGTGCCTTTTACTGAGGAGTGGCTTCCATCTGGCCACTCTACCATAAAGGCCTGTTTGGTGGAGTGCTGCAGAGATGGTTGTCCTTCTGGAAGGTTCTCCCATCTCCACAGAGGAAACTCTAGAGCTCTGTCAGAGTGACCATCGGGTTCTTGGTCAACTCCCTGACCAAGGCCCTTCTCCCCCGACTGCTCAGTTTGGCCGGGCGGCCAGCTCTAGGATGAGTCTTGGTGGCTGCAAACTTCTTCCATTTAAGAATGATGGAGGCCACTGTGTTCTTGGGGACCTTCAATGCTGCAGAATTATTTTGGTACACTTCCCCAGATCTGTGCATCGACACAATCCTGTCTCTGCGCTCTACGGACAATTCCTTCGACCTCATGGTTTGTTTTTTCTCTGACATGCACTGTCAACTGTGGGACCTTATATTGACAGGTGTGTGCCTTTCCAAATCATGTCCAATCAATTGAATTTACCACAGGTGGACTCCAATCAAGTTGTAGAAACATCTCAAGGATGATCAATGGAAACAGGATGCACCTGAGCTCAATTTCGAGTCCCATAGCAAAGGGTCTGAATACTTATGTAAATAAGGTATGTCTGTTTTTTATTTGTAATAAATTAACAAAAAAATTATAAAAAACGATTTTCGCTATGTCATTATGGTGTATTGTGTGTAGATTGCTGAGGATTTTTTTATTTAATCCATTTTAGAATAAGGCTGTAATGTAACAAAATGTGGAAAAAGTAAAGGGGTCTGAATACATTCTGAATGCACTGTATTGCAGTTCATTTCGTCTTTGACTTAATAAAATATATTTGAGTAGTAAACAGGGAAACAACAACGAGTCCCAGACAGTTCGCAATAGAACATACCAGAGAGAAGCATAATTGGGGTCATCTGGTTACCACCAGTGTTTGAATACATTAGAGATACAAATAGAGATACAATTAAATTGTGTTTTCTTTGAAAAGATGGGCCTGGCTGAGAATATTATAATAAAAAGCATGAGCTGGCGCACACCCAGAGAAAATAATTTAGTTTAGAGGTGCTGACTAACAGCGAATAAACTGTAAGCTATAAAAACAAAGAGAGTCGCACACTCCATATGTATAAACTCCCAGTAATGTATTGGGTAAAACACCAACGTTTCGGCATCACTGTGCCTTCTTCAGGGTTATGTCATGAATGCTTGAACCAGGTTATGTAGACATATAGTGCAATTAGTTCAACCAATGACAATAGTGAGGGGTGTGTCATAATTATTAGGTTGATTAGAATAATTTGAGTGAAACTGTTAAAAGACAATAGTTTACAGCATATTGAATATATTAGGCTATTGTTATCATTAGCATTAGCATAAGATTAGCATCAACATGCATTATTGTTTAATTTAATTTCACATATATATTTAATTGTTTCCAATTTCATTAATCTTTTTCAACCATAATGCATAATAAGCATAATCAACAGGGGGAACATATTGGGTGTACGCTGATAAGCTGTAGAAATAATATATTCATTTATAAGACTTGTTCATAGAAAATATAATTGTTCATAAGAAGGGCCTGAGATCAAAGTAATATTCAGACCACTAGAGTCAATGTTTTTAAATAGGACATCCAGTAGGCCTCCCTCTGTAGTAGAATGGCTGTGAATAGAACATTCAGTTTTCTGCCTGAGTGTGGCGCTGTTTACAGCAATTTTCTGGAAGAGTCCTTAATTAACCTATACAGCTCTGGAACCATTGTCTTGCCTTTTACTGCAACAACTTGTGTCAATTATTTGCCCTTATAGAATACACTTTTTTTTAAAACTAATAACTCAAAGGTGTGTGACCATTAACATTGGCTGCATATCCATTGTCCTTCTACCAAAGTGTGGACTTGCACATTTCTTCTCATCCCAGGGATTTAACAATGGTGTAAAGTACACTATATTTACAAAAGTATGTGGACACCCCTTCAAATCAGTGGATTCGGCTATTTCAGCCACACCTGTTGCTGACAGGTGTATAAAATCGAGCATACAGCCATACAATCTCCATAGACAAACATTGGCAGTAGAATGGCCTTACTGAAGAGCTCAGTGACTTTCAACGTGGCACTGTCAAATGATGCCACCTTTCCAACAAGTCAGTTCGTCAAATTTCTGCCCTGCTAGATCTGCCCCGGTCATCTGTAAGTTCTGTTATTGTGAAGTGGAAACGTCTAGGAGCAACAATGGCTCAGCCGCAAAGTGGTAGGCCACACAAGCTCACTGAACGGGAGTGCTGAAGCATGTAGCGTGTAAAAATAATTTGTCCTCGGTTGCAACACTCACTACCGAGTTCTAAACTCCCTCTGGAAGCAACGTGAGCACAATAACTGTTCGTCGGGAGCTTCATGCAATGGGTTTCCATGGCCGAGCAGCCGCACACAAGCCTAAGATCATCATGCGCAATGCCAAGCGGTGTAACGCTTGCCGCCATTGGACTCTGGAGCAGTGGAAACGTGTTCTTTGGAGAGATTAATCTGGGTTAGGCGGATGCCAGGATAATGTTACCTGCCTCAATGCATAGTAACAACTGTAAAGTTTGGTAGATGAGGAATAATGGTCTGAGACTGTTTTTCATGGTTCGGGCTAGGCCCCTTAGCTCCAGTGAAGGGAAATCTTAACGCTACAGCATACAATGACATTGTAGACGATTCTGTGCTTCCAACTTTGTGGCAACAATTTGGGGAAGGCCCTTTCCTGTTTCAGCATGACAATGCCCCTGTGTACAAAAGCGAGGTCCATACAGAAATGGTTTGTCGAGATTGGTGTGGAAGAACTTGACTAGCCTGCACAGAGCCCTGACCTCAACCCCAATGAATACCTTTGAGATGAATTGGAATGGCGACTGCGAGCCAGGCCTAATCGCCCAACACCAGTGCCCGACCTCACTAATGCTCTTGGGGCTGAATGGAAGCAAGTCCCTGCAGCAATGTTCCAACATCTAGTGGAAAGCCTTCCCAGAAGAGTGGAGGCTGTTATGGCAGCAAAGGGGGGACCAACTCCATATTAATGCCCATGATTTTGGAATGAGATGTTCAACGAGCAGATGTCCACATGGTAATGTAGTGTAGCTCAAGCCAATGCTTGGATATGGATGAAGAGAGGGATGGACAATTGGTATGCAGCCATTGATTTCAGGTGGCTTCATCAACGGATGGAATGTGTCCCAAATGGCACCATATTCCCTATACATAGTGCACTAATTTTGACCAGATATAGGAATAGGGTGCCCTTTGGGATGCATTCTGCCTGTTTAGCCCCACCCTGCCTATTGTAAAAAATATTTCTCCATCCCATTCCCCCAGTTAAGCAAATGAAGGGGAGAGGCTATAACTATAATTCATGTAGTAAATTACTTTTCCTGTCAACGATTTTATTTGACAAACTTCCTTTATTGTGTAGGTGTGTGTCCATTTCGAAGGTTTAATAAAACCTTAATTCAGCCAAGAAATCCATATTTT